ATATTTAAATTCTGAAAATAGAAAAAAAAATTATGTCAATTTCGGTATCTCTTTAACCTTACCCAAGACTCATGGTTTCTAAATACTAGGAGTTGACTTTTTTAGGTTTCCAAAATTTCGTTTCAAATAACAACGCGTCATTTTCCATGTTTTTAATTAGCTCAGGTGGCGGTTGACTTTCAAGAGAGAAAAAACTTTTGTACGAAAATATTTATCTTTAAATACTTCTTATTGTTAATTTAATTTTGTCGTCAAAATTATCATTTAAGAATTTTGTTATTTTGAAAATTTTTGTATTGCGCGTGAATTTTCAATTCAACCTTGTATTATGAGATTCTAGACAGTCCGAGATGTAAAAGAAATTACATGCTTTATTGGTAAAATCATATATTAAAGTTAATTTAATTTTAAGGAGAAAGATGTGTAATTTAAAGTTTGTTGGGAGTAACGACAAGAAGGTAGAATTTATAGATGCTTCGGTTGCCATTGTCGGATTGCAAAGATTAAAGATAGAAATTGAAATTAAATTATTGGAACAAAGACTTTGACTTTTGTATGCACGTATTATGTTTATGATATTATTTATTATTATTATTTTTTTTTGAAAAGGTATTATGGTATTTTGTTGCATGTATATTCGCATATTGTTCTGTTTGGTTGAAAGTCAACCATGCGGGTCTGACCAGGGTTTCTTTCTTTCGTTTTATTTATTTTCGAAAATGACCAAGATTTAAGCTCATGCACTGTTTCTATACAAACCTCCAATTAATTATTTATTTACATGTTATGTCAAAAAAAAGTTCATTTATTTATATGCAAGTCCATCCCTTTTTCAGACTTTCTTCTATTTTGAAATTTATTATTTTAATTCAAATCTCCCCGTTCCAACACGTAGGATACTTATCCAGCTGCCTCTCATATCGAGGAGTAATTTTAAATCTGTGTTAATGTTTTCGTTTCTTATTTTTCTAATAAAATAATATAATTGTATTCGGTAAATATTTGTTGTTTTTTTAATTTTTTTAGAAAGAAGCAAACAGTAAATTTTCAATTTAAAAAGTAAAAGTTTTGTATAAAAATAATTTTTTAATTAAATTTTTATGTTATTACTACCTTTTAATATTTATTATACCTTTTATTAGTCAAGAATGATAAAAAAATATTTTTGTTTATGTTTTAGGAATTGAAATGGGAATAAAAAATAAAAAACTTGATTTTGCGCCTTCTTTCAAAATTCTATGCAGTGTTGAAATATTTCTAAACAAAATAGAAATATGAAAACTTATGTGGTCAAATGTGTGAGTAACTCAATAAAATTAAAATTTAGAAACAAGAAACAAAAATATTACCATTCAAATATAAAAAATAGTTATCATTAAAGAGTTTAATATCTGTGTCCATCAAAGTATTGATGAACATCATTTTATGAAGGTATCTATAGAAATAGTTGATCATAAAAATATTTAAATTAAGCAAAAGTAACTATCAAGATTCATGGATTTCCATCTCAAAACCAATTGGTAATGAGAGGAGTAGTTCATGTCTATTATAAACYTATGCAAGGTCCATTTTCTTTTCAATGTGGGATCCTTAACAGTAACGTTAGTGATATATATATTCTCCTGCAAGCAGTCTGCACTCACTCATAGCGACAACAGTTGGCAGTGGGACCGAAATTTGTCATAAGTGTATGACCTAAGGAAGGGAGCGACATTGATACCTGCGATAGTGTACGAGAGGTGCGACACGTCTTGCAAGTAGTCTGCAAAGGAATAAGGTGACAGTGAACAAAGCAAATACCATGCATTAGGAATGTCGTCCCCTAACGGCCCGCCAGAGTCTCGTATACGATCCCCACCATGTCATGTGCTAAGCATCCTTCCGATCGACCTTCCGCGCTTATAAGACAGACATACTACTACGACCACTAGGTAAGTGAAAAATATATCAACAAACTACTAGGGTGCTTTTTGCTCTCTTTCTCTAATTGCTAACTTGACTATCAGAGAGGATTAGGTAGGACATTGCATCGGTGTCGAAAATTGTTGTTGCATGCTCATTTATTCAACGGTTATCCATACCATCCTTTAAAGACAAAAATATAAATCTGGTTAATCATTTTATATTGTAAAAATATATATATTCTAATTGTTAATATGTAATAATAGTACTCGAACATCAATAAAATCAAGAAAGCAATAGTCTGGTTAATCACCAAAAAATAAAATATACCTTCTAAATTTTATGTTGTGATAAATTAAATCTCAAGAGCTTTTCTAGGGTTATGTGTTGATAAGGAAAATAATTAATAGACATTTCTTGATTATTAAATAACGAAGAAACAATAATTATAATATTGTAGATTGTCAAATAACTAAGGAATTAATAAAAGGAAGAATAGATGGTTAGTATTACAATTTTAATATTTCTTGATATCTTGGATTTTTTACAATAATTTGTAAATGTAAATTGCCACTTTGATTTATTTAATTAAATATCGATGTGTAAAATAGTAAAATTTCATCTATTTTCTATTGATGAACATCTCAAATTAGGATCTGTGTTTTTATTTGTCAATTTTAAGGTAGTTCAAATAGTTAAATACATTAATCCATGTCAGAAAGTYGTAAGTTCAATCTCTATCCCTACATATCTAAAAAAATGATTGTTTTGTTTTTATATTTGTTTTATTTTTTTTTATATAAATAAAATGGTTCTGTATATTTATATATAGTGTAAGGAGAATATGTCCTACCAAAAAAGGAAAAGAAAGAAATACAGTTGTTAAAAAAAGGATTTCTTGAGAACGGAGTGACCTAATCGCATACATAATAATATCTTTTTCTTCGACTGCAGGTCTTAAAATTTAGATTATAGGTTAGTTATCAGAAAAGAAAATGATAATAATAAAACCAAGTAAAATTCAAAAGAAAGTTAAGTAATTGAACCGTCATTTCATTAAAATATATCAATGTTTAAGAATGGTTTAGATTTGGTTATCTCTAATATATTACAAAAATGTTGAACAATACTTTATAGTATTGAAAATATTTCACGTAAAATCATGTCGATATTATTTTATAGAATTATATATGAGAAAAACAGGAATCTAAGCGACCATATAATAAAACCTAGTATTATGAAATTTCCGAATACAC